TTTTAGAGATCAGCGCTCTGTCAGATGTGGGGTTGGTGAAGATCTCACATTCTATAGGCTGTCATTTTGTCTTTTTGTGCACATGTTATTGAGGTCATGCAATTTCTTCTCTTTTTCCCCCTGTTTATTTGTTAGATTGTACTTTAATTATAATATTTCTCCCTCTATACCCTCCCAAATATCTATCCTCACTCTCCTTCAAATTCCTGGCCTCCTTTTCATCATTATTGCATAAATATAAGTATTTGTAGATGCAAATATAAGTCGTTGAGTCCATATAATGTGCTACTTGTGTATATATATATATATCTTTAGGGCTGATCATTTGACATTGGACAATCAGTGTGCTCTTTCCTGAGTACCTTTACCTCTCCCAGCTTTACTTAATTACCCATAGTACTTTGTGTAGAATTGAGCCTTTATGGGATTTCCTCTGTACTACTTTATATATTTCTTGTTGTCCTCATTATTTAGTTCACATATTGGGGGTAACGTTCATGAGCCTTTACAAGTAGAGTTTCTGATGTTACTAGGAGATACAATCTCACATCAGATTCCCTGATCCTATGGCTCTCCCAATCTGTCCACTACCTTTTCCAAAATTTTCCCTGACCCTTAGTTATGGAAGCATTTTGTACATGTATCTATTAAGACTGATCTCCAGAATTCACTATGCAACTTCTTGCTCATGATGATTCCCAGAAGAGTAGCAGAATAACACTGAGAAATGTGGCTTTTAAGGAGGGACAAGATTTCATATAACCAAGCAGCTTTTCAGGTAAACAATCTTGTCTTACTCTATTTTTCATAGCTCAGTTATTCAAGAACTACTTCTATCAAGGCCAGATAATATCATGGGTTTTCTCCCCATCATATGTGCATAGAGTTCCCTTTCTACATTGAGCTGGGATTGTGAAACAAGAGAGAAGCCAATCTTCCCAGTCTTGCCTGGGAAGACTTTACAATGAATATGTGTTTTATGGTTGGATTAACATAGTGTCTGGACTCTATCAGCTAGCTACCTCTACTTTTACCTTCTTCATAAAGTTACATTCTCATAACATTCTACAGGTATTATTAGACACAAGATACGATAAAATTGAGAGAACTTGGTCAGTCCCTGAGCACCATAAATAAGTCTAACAAACACTCCTCTGGAAGCCATTTTCCAGCACACTCCACTGTCTTACACTGTGGTCCATATATGATCTATTTCTTGGACTGCTGGTTAAACTTCCATAACACCCATAATGTATTATCTATAGAAGTGTGTGAAATGATGAAATTACTGGGAGGAAAAACATATTGTCAATAATAAGGCTCACCCAATTCTGATATCATGGCCTAGTTCCCTGCAGTGTTGTCTATGTATTGATAACTGAAGGGCACCAGGAAAGAACAGAATAAAGTGTTACTCACTTAGTGTGGAAAAAGTACTTGCCCTCAGAGCCTTCACCCAGCAGTATCAAGAGACTTTAGAGATAGGAAGTTCACACTCACATACATTCACAACCATTTTCTTCATGGCTCCAAGTATAGGGGTGGTATGGCCTAATGTCTAAATTCTAAGAAGCTTTGGTCAGTCTCCCAAAGAGGAAAAAATAAACACAGGGAGAAAGTTAATTTGCATAGATACATACCACTACCAATATTAAAGATAGAAATCGGGATCTGCACCCATCTGGGCAGCATGCTCTTGTCTGGGACAAAGGTAAGCTGGCCCTGAGGGTATAAGAGCAGGAGAGCTGACCCTGCCCACCCCACTTGCCTTGTATGCCCGCTAAAGCAATGAGGAGAGAGGGTCCTGCAGCTCTCCTGGGTAAAGCAGTAGGGTGTGGCCTTGGTTGTGCTAGTGCTGGTGAGCTGGAACTAAGGACCTAAGAACAGGAGAACTGGCCCCTCCCCTTGCTGCAAATTGCACTGGGTGAGCTAGCTGAGACAGTGCTGGAGAATTTGTCCCAATACTGATGACAAGGGAAAGCTAGAAGCTGACAGCTCAGCTACCTGCCAGGCCCAGAACCAGGGCTAGGAGTCAGTCCACTCCACCATCCACTGCATCTGAACTGGTGAAGCACATGAAGGGGACAAACCCTACGGATCCCGAACTGAGGCATTTCCGCAAAGCAGGACAACAGGATATCCAAGAGGAGCCCAAGAGAGAACAAATTATCGATAATGTAGCAGAAGCCAGAGGGCTCGAACCAGAACAAGGACACACAGCAATGAACACATACAAGAAGAGATGAATAGACCAAAAGGTAAACTGCATGACTCAATGGTCCACACTAGAGCTTCCACGATGAGATTCTTCTTCTTTCTCTTGTTTATATTGTTGTTTGTTTTGTTTTTATTGTTTAGTTTGGTTTGGTTTTAGTTTTGCTTTTTCATTTAAATAATGTTTGGATTTAGAGGGGAGGTTGCATCTACAGATGGGGGATGTGAGGGGACAGGGAGAAAAGTGGGATTGGGATGCATGATGTGAAATCCACAAAGAATCAATCAAAGTCTTTAAAAAGAAAAAGAAAAAGATGGACAAAGGAAACTTCACAGTAGCCACTGAAAAGTCATTCCTTACATGTCTTTCACTGTCACTGATGATCCTTTGGAATCAGGATGGAGATATTGGATGTCAGTTGTATTATGTCTTTTTTTTTTTTGAGACAGGGTTTCTCTGTGTAGTTTTGGTGCCAGTTCTGGCTCTTGCTCTCTAGACCAGGCTAGCTTTGAACTCACAGAGATCTGCCTGGCTCCTCCTCCAGAATACTGGGATTAAAGGCATGTGCCATCACAGCCCGTCAATGTCAAATGTTTTCTCTCAGGCATAGGAATATGATTTCTTCCTATGTCTCTTTTGTTGCTGACTTTAGCAAGTCTTAGGATACTAACCAGCACCTTCCATTCAGGTTGTAAGGATATATAATTCAGAACCTGAGCAGCTGCATCAGCTCTATGCCAGACCACAATGGGCACCAATTGAAAAAGAAGCAGGAGCGACACTGATTTTACTAACTGGGAAGATCATTGTTCAGGGCGACAGTCCTAGGACAGGCTTTTCTAACTCTGGAACCCAAGAAATTCTCAGGAACTCCAGTCTCCACTGACTAACTGTTGGTGGGAAATGTCCCTAGACCACTCTCACAGAAGTGGACAGGGACTAGGAGAAAGTGCTGGATGACAAGTGAATAAGAAATCAGAAACCTCATTTGTCCCTAGTATTACAGTGATTGACAGTTCAAAGGTGGGTGACATTGACTGGATAGACATGTATTATTGCCTCCCTCTCCTGCAGAGATTAATTGTTAAAATGAGGACAGAACTGGGTATCTGTTTAATTGCAGCCCTAAAAAAGTGTACAATGATTGATAGCAAATTGTAATGCACTCAGAAAAAGCTACTAAACCAAAGATAGCATTGTTTCTGCCTGAGGATGAAAAGAATCATTAGGAAGAATTTTGTATAGGCTATCAGACATAATTATGTGCAGAGCAAATTCTTACACAGTCCAATTCTTGCTACTAAGAAGTAAGAAAATTTTACAGAGATGTAGCTTAATTGATGGAGATCATGTCTATTATGAAAAACAAACAAACAAACAAAAAACCCACTGGGTTAGAGCCCCAGCATTGCATGAACTGGGACTGGTGGTGCACTCCTGTAGTACCAGTTCATGGGAGTGGAAAACAGGGGTGCCAGAAGTTCAAGGTCATCTTCCACTTTGAGGCCAGTCACAGCTAGATGAGAACAGGAATTTATCAGGAAAAAAAACTCTAATTTTAAATCAAGCTCCAAAACACTGATAAAAGAGTAAACATAATTGTAAAACTTAATGAAGTAGAAAGCTTAATATTTCCTACACGAACATTCAATCCACATTTAAGCTACATCAGATCAAAACATATAGATTGGAAATACCATTAGCCAAGAATACAGTCAATATAGGTATTCTTTGGAATATCCTAAATATATTTATAATCCCTTCCATAGTTCTATAACAAACTGTAGGCAATGTATTGAAGGTTATTAAATAAGATACATTGAGGGGTTTCCTCAGTGGTCACCTGGCTTCCTGGGTGTTGCTGCAGTTACAACTCCTACAGCTCAGGGTCAAACAAAAATACTGGCACCACAATCCACAGTGCAGAAAAGATACACATTTAAAATCTGAAAGAAGGATTATATTGAATATGCAATGCCTTAAAGTAAAAACTTTAAAAAAGATCCAATTGAATCATTGCATGTAGGGACATGTAGGGGGCTTCTGTCTGTGAGTATATGTATGTATGTGTGCACCTACAGCCTCTAAAACTTAAAGCCTAGATTATAGACAATTTTCTCAAGCTACACTTTAGGTAGTAGATTGAAGGCCCTTTGTCATAATTTGAAAGTTTTACAGCTTTATTAAATTAGGCCTTGTTTATTAGTCACACCCATTTCCACAGTGCTGCACACTTTACAAATTGCAGAAAGATACTATCATCAGTATTCCCCACCTCATGAAGAGATGATAGAGAACTCTGAATTCAGTGTTTAGTGCTTCCCTTAGAGACCAAGCCATTCTCTGATGAAGGAATACTCTGGGAAAGAGTTGTCGTTGCCCCCTAAATTGGAAACAGTTATGAAAATATGCCATCTACAGCCCTGTATATATTCCCAAAAGTCCAATGACATCCTCTCCAGAGTCAATTCCCAGTTCAGGAAATCTAAATCTCAGCTCTCAAATATTTCTCTGCACAGAATGCCAAAAAGATGGGGCCTCTTGTTGTCTCATCCCACTATCTTGTTATATATTTTCCTCTTCTTTGACAAGAGAAGTAGCTTAAGGCTCTTGAGAGAAATTTAGCCCTGCTTACATTGCAGAAATATTTGGAGGATTTGTCACACATCAATCAACATCTTGACCATATAGTATTTTCTAAGAGGGAAGCAGCTGTGTCCTGAGAAGGCCAAAGGGATTTTTGTTCTGCTTTGTAGAACTGTGTGAATGGTTCACTGTTCTTTTGCTAACAGTAGTAAGTGGCAGCATCTTCAGTTTCAATACTGCTGATTGTGAGAGAGTAAGAGGTCCCAGACCCACTGCCACTGAAGCGAGCTGGGACTCCAGAAGCCATGTTGGATGTTCCATAAACCAGGAGCATAGGGGAGGCTCCTGGCTTCTGCTGGTACCCGTGGAAGTAATTGGAGCTTACGCTTGGGCTGGTATTGCAGGTGATAGTGACCTTCTCCTCTTGTGGTGTGACCATGGATGCTGGAGACTGAGTGAGAATAATTTCACCATCTGATACTATGGAGAGAAAGATGAAAATAGATAGAATTAGTAGAAAACAGGATTCCAGGATACCTTCTTATTACACACTATGCAAAGAAGAAAAAGATGACAACAAAGAGGAAGTAGAGGAGGCAGAGGATAAAAGGAAGTAAAGAAGAAAGGAAGGAAGGAAGGAAGGAAGGAAGGAAGGAAAACTTTTCCTTTTAAACTGAAACCTCCATGGTGGAAATGATGTTATGTTGGAGTTGGAGATCCCCTTCTTTCTCACCCACTACCCTGAGTAGCAGCAAGTTGACAGTTTTCACCAGCAAACCCATCTTGTTGTCTGGTCTCTGTCTACAAACTTCTCTTGTCTAAGTTAGTTCTCGTAAAAGCAAGTCTGAGCCATCTGCGATTTCTGAGGAGTAAATATGTGAACAGCAGGGTGTAAGCCGGGATGTTCTTGGTTCATAAACACATGAATCCTTTCACTTATTGGTAGTATTTAAGTTGGTAAAGACCAAAGTTCTTAGTGTTTTGGATTTTTTTTTTTTACAATGTCCCACACCCCAGGTCCAGAGTATTCTTCACATGTTTTGTCATAGCTAGGATTAGTTTGACCTATCTGATATGATAAGTTCTGTTCTTCAATGTCTGGAATTGATTTTTTCTCAGACAAAGCTCAACTGAGAATGACTGGAATGTACATTAGAAAATCTGAGGCTCCATATCTGCTTCCTCCTCCTTCTGGTGCTGCTCAACTAAGGTTTTGCTCATCCATCACAGTCTAATCAAATGGTCCTGAGCTCACAATTCCCTGGGAAAACCTTTGTGCCAGCATGTGATCTGGAACTCATGTATTTTCAGGGATATTTCCACAGAAGCTACATACTGATAAACCCTCCTTCAGGAAACAGAAGAAAACATTCATTGATTTTTTTATAGCAACTGTTATGAATCCAAAATTCCGTCTCCTGCTGCTTTTAGGAGGACCTTGAGCCTCTGATCCTCCTGAGGAAGGGTTGTTATAAACAGGAGTGGGATTCTGGGACAAGCTTTTCAGGGTCCCCAGCTTCAGAGAATGTGTCAATGAAATGTGCTTGGACCAATCTCACAGAAGGGGTCAAAGGCCTGGAGACATTTGTGGAGGCTAGTTAATGGAAAGTGTTACCAGGGTGTCAGCACTAAGGTGAACTTGTCTATAAAGTGTGTTATTGCCCTCTGTTGGAGAGATGAGAAATAGGCCATCTCAGAGCCTAGAGGAAAAACTACAAGGACAATAATCAGTATAAATCCTAGTGTGCTTGGGAAAGGGATGGGTTGAGAGGAGGAACTCATGAAAAGCCGAAGTCTGTAGAGTTCCTCACAATGACTGATGGAAGAAAAATGAATAATTGTGCAAATACAGTCAGATACACATGCATAAACACATAAACATGCACCCTGCTTCTTGCTAATAAGAAATAAGGACATATTGATAAGAAGACATTAAACATAGATGTGAAACATGTAAAGTGTTTGCTTGCATGCTGCCATGCCTCTTGCCATAATAATGGACTACTTCTGATCTGTAAGTCAGACCCAGTGAAATGTTTTCCTTCATAAGTGTTCCGCCATGGTCAGAGTGTCTCTTCATAGCAATAGAAACCCTAACTAGGACAAATATTAAAAGTTTCCAGGGAAAAAAGGAATATATAAAAACAGACCTATTTGAATAAGGGTGACAAGCCAGGTGATGGTGGTGCACACCTTATTCCCAGCACTTAAGAGGTCGAGGTAGGCAGATCTCTGTGAGTTTGAGCCTGGCCTGGTCTACAGAGGTTTTTCCAGGACAGTCATGGCTATACAGAGAAACCTTGTTTCAAAAAGCCAAAAAGAAAAAAAATACATTTCAATGTAGACTCTAAATGCCGGAAAGGCCTTGCAAATATTATACAGACTTAGTCCAGACTATTATAGCCAACATAACTTTTAATCACAGTAGGTGAAGAGAATAAGACATTACATGATAAAATCAAATTTAAGCAATATTTATCTATAAATCTAGCCCTAGAGAAAATGCTAGAAGAAAAACTCAAACTTAAAGAGTTTAATTACACCCAAGAAAACACACGGATTAAATAATGTCAGATCAACAAATCAAAGGGACACACACACACACACACACACACACACACACACACACACACGGAGCACCACAACAACCAAGTAATAGTAATCAACAAAAACTGTTCATTTGTATCTCTCTATATGAATGCTATCAGTCTCCCAATAAAAAGACACAGACTAATAGATTGAAAGTGAAAATAGGATCCATCCTTCTGCTGCATTAAAGAAACATATGTGAACATCAAGGATAGTTAACATCTCAGAACAAAAAAATGAAAAAAGATATTCCAAGCAAATGAACCTAAGAAGCAAGCTGGTGTTGCCATTTTAAAATCTGACGAAATAGACTTCAAAGCAAAGCTAATGAGAAGAGATATGGAAGGATGCCACATATTCATTAAGGGAAAAAGCCATCAAGAGATATTGCAACTCTTAATATCTATTCACCAAACACAAGGACACCAAAGTTCATAAAAGGAGCACTACTACAACTCAAATCACAAGTTGTCCCTCATAAACTAAGAGTCAGAGACTTAAGTATAACACTTTTGCCAGTTGAAATGTCATAAAGACACAATTAAACAAAGCCAACTGATGTAATAAATCAAATAGACTTAACAGATATTTGCTGACCATTTCACCCAAACACAAAAGCATATACCTTCTTCTCAGCACCTCATGGAACATTCTCAAAAATTTACCACATTCTTGGACACAAAACAAGTCTCAAGAGATTCAACAAAATTAATGTAAAACCCTATATCCTGTATGACCACTTTGGATAGGAACTGGATATCAAGAAGAGAAACAGTAGAAATATTACAAATTCGTGAAAACTGAACTATCCACTACTGAATGAATAATGGACCAAGGCAGAAATTAGTAAAGAAAGTAAAGACTTCCTACAATCCAATGATAATGAATACACAATATACTCAAACGTATCGGACATAATGAAGGCAGTTCTAAGAGGCAAGTTTATAGCACAAGTTTCTATATTTAAAAAAAAAGTGGAGGGTGCTGTGGGATACTTTTGTACACTGGTTTAATAAAATGCTGATTGGCCATTAGCCAGGAAGAAGTATAGGTGGGATAAACAGACAAAGAGAATTCTGGGAAGAAAAAGGCTGAGTCAGGAGATGCCAGCCCTGATCCAGGGAGCAGCATGTAATGGCCCACAGGTAAAGCCCTGAACAAGTGGTGACATATAGATTAACAGAAATGGGTTGAGTTTAAGTGTAGGAGCTACTCAGTGGTAAGCCTAAGTTTATGGCTGAGTAGTTTTAATTAATATAAGCCTCTGTGTGTTTGCTTGGGTCCGAGTGGCTATGGGACCAGTGGTTGAGAAAGATTAGTCCCGACTGCCGGCAGGAGTCAGAAAGGAGACAGAAAAACTTCCAGCTACAAGAAATTGGCAAGGTGAGGTTGAATGTGGCTTGTTCTGTTTTCCGAATCTTTCAGCATTCACCCTGATACCTGGCTCCGGGTTTGTTTTTATTAATAAGACCTTTTAAGATTTGTGCTACAGTCTTCAATTTGATTTCACTTATCAATATGTCTGATTTTTTGCCAGAGAGGCTATGGTCAACTGGCTCTCTCCTGCACTAAACCCAGGCATACTTTTTAAAGAAAAATCTAAAATCTCTGTCTAATGTCAGAAGATCCACTTGATATGGGACAGAAGAAAAACCAAAATTAAGGGACTATTCTATTACTAATCTCAGAATTCTTTAGTTGTATTTTGACTCTTTAACTTTTTTCTTAAGGCATGAATATTATCTCAAAATTTATAAGACGAATCTATACCTGTATCTATATATTTTAAACTTTCTGTCATATTAATGGTCATATAGAGAAATAATTCTAGAAAAAGTCTTCATCTACCTTCTTAAACATGATTTTGAGTGTGAGTCTCTAACAGGTCATTTGGAATGAAGTTTGTGTACCCTGGATATACTTAACAAATTGTGATTCTTTAACCTCACTGAGATCTCCCACATATGACATTTCAAATGTTTAAAGTTTTCCGCACTGAACTATTACCATTCCTAACAGCAACCTTTAAGTCTCTGAAAGGATGACGTGGCACCACATTGGTTCCACCTGGATTGTGGTTAGACCACTAAGGTGACAAACACCCTCCCAAAGATTATCATTGGACTACAGACGACAAAATGCTCAGGACAACTTCAGTGGTCCAGCCTCACGCACTACTCCAGCCAGAACTTCAGATAAGCCCCACACTTTCACTTTATACAGAGACTGGAAGTAAATGATACAGCTAGCTCTCGCAGGACTTACCTATTATCTTAATTATTTCAGGGTCCCCCAGATAATGGGAAGCAATCTAGAGAACACAATGCCCACATTCCCAGGAGGTGGGGTGAGTGGTTTTGATCATTCAGTGAGTTATGGATATTTGTCAGCATTCGGGGCATTGGTTGCAGGTTTGTTATTGGTTATTGTTCAGGAAAAAGGCTGAACAAAGGAGATTAGATTCAGGGATCTCATTCTGAAAAGAAAAAGGGGGATATAAAAATGATAGGAAAAAGGGTAGATTATTCAATCTACTTTTAAAGTAAAAAACAACTACTAGTCTTAAATATTTTACATTGGTATGGATTTCTGTATATTAATACAAATTTAATGTTATTTTTGTTGTAAAATTCTGTCATACGTTTCTACTCCTGTTTAACTTTTTGTGCCTATGGAGCTCATCTAACAATGTAAAGTAAATTTCTAGTCCTTTCAAGTTATTATTATAAACTATTTAAAATAAAATAGAAATGTAGGTTGGTAGTTAGTCACCTATTACAATCGAACTTGTAGTCATGTTAGGCATACTTTCAAGATCAAACAGAGATACATTTGAGATAGACAGGTGGTCTTCAAATACATCGGAGATCTACAGAATATGGCATTTAAGATGTTTTAATAGTATAAGGCTTTTTATAACATTGAGACATGTCTACACTTGGCAGTACCAATCTACTTCAGAGAATGTGGTGAACATCAAAGAAACTTTATATGGAGTTTGCTTTCTTTGTGGCAAAAGTTAGCCACTGGGCAAGAAACTGCCCTTTCCATGAGTGGTGACAATAGGCTGTCCAAATTGGACAGGCAGGACACCAAAGAAAGTGACTGCCAAACTACCAAGACAAGGTGGGACAGTCCTTCAAAATTCTTGTTCACAGAAAAGTCTATAAGATATTCTAGGCGTGTAGGCTAA